TCTCTCTTCAAATTTCGAGATGGATCCGTTTCTCAAATAAGTTGTTAATTTCACATAATGGAGCAACTTCCTCCTCCTCCATTAAATTTCTGAATCACCCAATCAGATGGTATATTACATTGCTCTGGGCAATGTACAACAGTAGATAAAAAAGCCTGGCGGAACATCTCTGCCTTACGGGCCATGCGGAATTGCATAAGATCCCGCAGGGCCGTGATGGTGTTTGGCAGAGAGTTCTACCAAGTCGGGGCCAGGACCTACAGAGGTCTGATTTCCATTTTGCTGCATAAATATTTCTAGCCACTGTCACCATATAATTTAAAAATCTCTTCCAAAACTTTTGGTAATCTGTTGGACAATATTCCTAGTAACATATTCTTAGCGCCCATAGGAAATTTGAATTTTAATATATTCTGCATTTTTGATGTATTTCCTTCCAATATCTTTTTGCTTTTTTACAAGTCCACCACATATGATAAAAAGTTCCATCTATGTCTTGACATTTCCAACATTTTTCTGTGTAATTTTTGTCAAATTTCTCAATATTCTTTGGAGGAATATATTTTGTACCAATTTTCTCTTAGCACCTGACTGGCTGTGAACTTCCCATAACCATTCCCATTGATGCATAGGTATCTGCTCTCTAAAATTCTACATCCATTTAATCACACATTTTTTCACTTGTTCTTTATCTGTTTCTAACTGGAGTAATAATTTATATATTCAATGTAATAAATGATCTTTTTGTTTTGTAATCAGTTGTTTAAATTCAGTAATCTCTCTTCGCACTCCACCTTTCATATTAATAATCTATTTTAGTCTTGAAGCTGATTCGTAATATAGTAACCATTGAATATTAATTCCTTCATCCTTAATGTCTTGCCATGACTTAAGTTTCCTGAGTGTTTACCTTGTTGCTATATGTTAAGAATGTAGTAATGTATGGCTGCGAGAGTTGGACTATAACGAAGGCTGAGCGCTGAAGAATAGATTCTTTTGAATAATGGTGCTGGAGAAGATTCTTGAGAGTCCCTTGGACTGCCAGGAGATCAAATCAGTCAATTCTAAAAGAAATCGACCCTAACTGTTCCCTGGAAGGCCAGATCCTGAAGCTGAAGCTCAAATACTTTGGCCACCAAATGAGAAGGGAGCACTCGCTGGGGAAGACCTCGATGCTGGGAAAGATTGACGGTCAAAGAAGAAAGGGACGGCAAAGGATGAGATGGTTAGACAGTGTTATCGATGCAATGAACATGAAATTAAGCAAACTCTGGAGCATGACGGAAGACAGGAGGGCCTGGTGTGATGTGGTCCATGGGGTCGTGGAGAGTCGGAGTTGACTGTGCGACTGAACAACAGCAACAAATATGTTAAGAAATCACTTTTGTTTCTTGTATTCTTATCACGATAAGCTTCTATTGGAGACATAAGCAAAGAATTTGAAGGACTCAGTACAGTTTGATTTGTAAGCCATATTCTCTTCTTTTACTATAGCTATTTTAGTTGACTTTTTAACTCTTATCTGAAGACCTGGAAATTGATACAAGCAGAACTATCTGGATGGAAATTTAAAAATAAATAAAAATTTCGTGGCTGGGTGGAATTTCAGCAATCAAAATTAGTGTATTGCCAAAATTAATTTTTTATAGCAAATGCTGTGTTTGTGTGTGTGTGTGTGTGTGTGTGTGTGTGAGAGAGAGAGAGAGAGAGAGAGAGAGAATATTGACAGAGTGGCAAAGACAGATATATTTATTTGAAATGGCAAAAAGAAAAGAATATGTTTTAAAATATTACAAGATGAGAAAAAGAGAGGAGAGTTAGCAGTTCCAATATAAAATTATATTACCAAGCAGCAGGTCTAATCTGGATCGTAGATTGGATCAAAAATCCAAGACAAAGAATAGTCAAACTTGAATCAGCAGACCTGAATCTGTCTTCTGAGAGAACTGTGACTGGGCCAAGATCACCCAGCAGGTCTCATGTAGAAGAGTGGGAATAAAACCTGGTCCTCCAGATTAGAGTCTGCCCCTCTTAACCACTACACCACACTACATCTGGTGGCATGGCTAGGCCAGCCATTTCTAGCCCATCAGAAGGCTTAGCTGTATCTCTCTCAAAATATACCCAATGACTACAATGAATACAACACACTGTGCCTAGCATCAGGCTAATTTTTTTGAAAGAACAGTTCTGGAGGCAGATGTCTCTTTCCTGCCACAAAAGTGAAAGAATACTTACATGATTGCAAAACCTTGCAGAATTGGAATTTTTAGCAGTCACTGGGGTGGCTTGAATTTGGGTTATAAGGCAGTACAAGGGGGAAAAGATGAGTAAGAGAACTATGAATGTGTCAGAAGGATGCAAGTCTCAGCTCCTGAAAGCCCCATGCAGACTTCTGGCTCATACTTGTAGGCTAGCAGCTACTGCCTTCATGCTTTTCCCCATCAAAACCACAATGGTTAAAAAGTTTACTCTGCCTTGTAATTAATATGTATTGGATTCTGCAAAAGGCACATGATTTTTTAGTAGACAGCTAGATTTCTATGGCCAATCTAGGTACAGAAATTCTCCTAAGGGGAGCAGAGAATACAGCAGTGACTGAGCCAGACAACTTTGCCCAAAGAAGCACAACCAGCTGTCACAGAATCCTCATCACAGCTGTCACAGTTCTGCAGGGCTGTGAAAACAGAACTTTTTAGGCAGGTGTTCCGATAGGAGCGACGTCTTACCAGCAGCGCCCTGTGTGAATTCCGATCAAACACGACCTAGTGTGGTGGAACTGCTGAATGTGTCCCTAAATTGCACTTTAGTTTTATCGCCATCCAATGAATGTTTTATATTGACTGGTTGTGTTTTAAATGATGTCTTGTATTTTTATTGTGAATGTATACTGCTTGTCAGTTTTTGGAAGCCGCCCTGAGCCCGCCTAGTGGGGAGGGTGGGGTAAAAGTGAAATAAAATAAATAAATCTATCAACAACTTGAACTAGTCCTTTCGTTGCTTCTAACTTTGGTGCTAGAAAGCACATCTATTTTTGTGTCTCTGTCAAGAAGGCTGTTGTATCAGAGGGATGAGCACCTATTGGGTAGTGTTCATGAACTGCAGCCCCTTATGTTTTCCCTGTGTACCTGTTTAATTTTCAGAGCCTCCCTCTCCAAAATGTTTCCTCCTGCCCTCACACCTCCAAGGCTGTGCACTGATCCTTTCCAAAGACTTATTTCTGCCCCCTCCCTTACAGAGAGGGCAAGGAGAATGCTAAATTTAACATTCATTTGATTTGAGTTTGTAATCCAATTAGACACCCAGACTAGTGCAGCTGCTTGGCAATATAATTTGATATTTGGTCCAGCTAAACCTCCTATTTTTTCTGTCCTGTAATACTTTAAATCTTGTTCTTCACTTCTTTCCACTCCACAAAGTTATTTATCATTTTCTGCCATTTTTAAGGATCTTTTCATCTATATGAATTGGTAACATTTGAAATAAAAAAGTCAACTTTGGTAATATATTCATTTTGACTGCAGAAATTCTTCCTAACCACTAAATTTTCAGTTATTCTGATCTTTGTAAATCTTCAATAATGCTTACTTTCTGATAATTATTTTTTTAAAAATATTCATTGTGTCCTGTTACATACATTCCCAAATATTTTATTGATTTTTAAAGTAACAACACATTATGTTATTTTTCCTATCTCTACTTCTTCTGCTTTGGTTGCCACTAGTAACATTATGTTTGTCTTCTTTTCATTCAATTTATATCCGGAATAAGTTCCAAATCTAATTATTTGTTCCATTGTATATTTCAGGGAAATATTTGGATTTTTTGCTGATATACCTACATCATCCACATAGCTTTTCATCTTGTATTCTTCTTTATCTTTTTTAATTCCAGAAATCCTAATATCTTGTCTAAGTTTTATAGGCAGTATTTCATTTGCCAGAATATATAACCACAGTGATACTGGACAACCTTGTTGGGTTCCTTTTGCAGTTTCAATTTTCCCTGTTAAAGTACCATTTATTAAAATTCTAGCTTGTTGGTCTGTAGAAATACTTTGCATCCAGTTCAGAAATTCTGTTTCACAGTTCATATTTTTGAGGACCTGCATTAAAAACAACCAAGATACATTGTCAAAAGCTTTCTCTGCAATCCAGGAGCTGCTGTGATGTTAGTCAGAAGGGATTCTTTAGCCTGAACACCAACTCTCCTCAAAAGCTACATTTAAGATCGGGTTTTTTTTTAATGGCCCTGTTTCCAGAAACTCAGTTGCCACAGCTTAAAAATTTAGTTGAGATTATGCTAGATACTTCTGAAAGAAAAATGAAGCGTAAAGCATCAAAGATAGTTACAGAGGGTTGTTTTGTTGGTCTGGAGTAGAACAAGTCCAGTAGCACTTTAGAGACCAACAAGATTTTCGGGCTATAACGGGGTGGCCAGAATGCGGTTCTTCCACGCATATTCTGCGGCTCCCGGCAGGGCAGCTGGGAAAATGAAGGGGAGGCATGCCTTCCCCCTGGACTTCCCTTCCCCAGCCATTGCTCCCCTCCCTGGGTAGGCTTGAGGTTGGGGGGGGGAGCAGAGAAAGAAAGCAACTTTAATTTTAAATGCATTCTCAAAGCACAGCTGGCTTGGAGAAAGCATTTGTCTCTTTAAATATCATCGTCAATATCTGTTTTTACCCCTTTTGTTTTTATTTCTGGCAGTCTTATTTAATGTTAATAAAAAAGCAAATTTGCATATTTTCCAATAAACTTGTGTAATATTTGATGTTATCTTGCGGCTCTCAAACATCTGGTCTTTCTTCTGTGTGGCTCTTATGTTGAGCAAGTTTGGCCACCCCAGTTTTAGAGAGTCATAGCGCTCGTCGTCAGATACCATGATATGTAGAAAGCTAAACAGGTACAAGCTGGAGACAGAGGGAAGAAGGGCTGTTGACTGTGACCTTAACAATATTTTCTAACAGCGCATTAACCAGTTTTATTTCTCTTCTTGGGCAGGAATATGCTCCTTCAGTATTTGAGAAATATACCTGCAGCATCACCGTTGGCAAAAAAGAAGTCCTCCTACATTTGTATGACACTGCAGGTAATCTTGCATTAAGAAACAAAGAAAAAACTCTTCTTTAGTCTATTCAAAACACACAGACACAAACCACCAGTGTGTTAAGACTTCCTGTAGTGGGTGGGAAGAGACTGCAAGAGGGGTAGGTGATGTACGGCTTTGACTCAGGTTGCATAATATTAGGTTGTTTTTTAAAAAAAAAAAGTTAAGTAGCAGCAAATGACTTTTACACCATTTACAACATTTCCGGGGCTTTCCAGGGCTCATTAGAACCTTGCCAGGTTACTGGCAGAGAAACTTATATGAAACTTGCCACCCTCTCCTGCAATATTATCTATTTTTTAATTCATTTACACCCCACATTTCTCACAGAGTGGCTTATATGGGTCCCCTTTTCCTCCATTTTTTATCCTTACAGCAACCCTGTGACTGGCCCCAGGTCACTGCAGCAAGCTTCCATGGCAAAGTGAGGATTCAGTCCTTGGCCTCCAAGAGCCGAGTCTGAGACTCTAACCACTTTGCTATACTGGTTCTGATGCAGCTACAGTAACGTGCTGTGTGGGTTTCGTGTTCTCAACTTAAATAGGGGAGACCCAACAGACCATGTAGAGTTTGTGCCCTAAATAATGCCCGCAATCCTCCGCTACAGAAAAAGATCCCATGTAGAAAGGGTTCCCTGGAAGCAGAATATTTAATTACTGCTTATGTGAGGACAAAAATTTATGACTCGGTTACACTCATTCATTTGTGTGAAGAGAAAAAGCTACACCAGTTTGGTGTCGTGGTTAAGTGAGTGGACTCTAATCTGGGAGAACTGGGTTTGATTCCCCACTCCTCCACTTGCACCTGCCTGGATGACCTTGGGCAAACCGTAGTTCTGATAAGAGCTGTCCTTGAAAAAGAGCAGTTTCTGTCAGAGCTCTCTCAGCCCCACCCGCCTCACAGGGTGTCTGTTGTGGGGAGGGGAAGGGAAAGGAGTTTGTAAGCTCTGAGATTCCCTTGGGTAGTGAAAGGCGGGGTATAAATCCAATCTCTTCTCTTCTTCTTCTTCTTTACAAGCTGCTCCCCTGTGCTTTTAGAGTTAGGCATCTGACCAGCAAAAAGAAACTTGATTAACTGATCATTCAAATCATGATCAAGTCTTTTTTCAGGTATGGATGGTCAACAGATTTACTGTCATTGTGAAACAATGACATTAAACTTTAAAACTGTGACTTTTTTTACTAACAATATTTGACTGGTTCAGGTGTGTAGCCGTGTTGGTCTGAAGCGACAGAACAAAGTTTGAGTCTGATGAAGTGTTCATGCACATGAAAGCTTATACCCAGGATTAAACTTTGTTGGTCTTAAAGATGCCACTGGACTCAATATTTGACTGGTTAATTCACCAGTTTGGTGTAATGGTTAAGAGCGGCAGACTCTAATCTGGAGAACCGGTTTTGATTCCACACTCTTCCACATGCAGCCAGGTGGGTGACCTTGGGCCAGTCACAGTTCTCTCAGAGCTGTTCTCTCAAGAGCAGTTCTCTCAATACCTCAGCCCCACCTACCTCACAGGGTATCTGTTGTGGGGAGAGGATGGGAAGGAGACTGTAAGCCACTCTGAGACTCAGAGTTAAGGGCGGGGTACAAAACCAATAGCGCTTCAACAGTGGGCCAGTCTTACCTCCCACCAACAATCTAACTTGCCAGTTTACATAACACAATTCATGTCCCCCGATACTCCAGAATCCCAGGCTCTTTTGCTCAGTGATAAGGATCCTAAAATCACTCTAGCAATTGCAAAGTTTGTCTCAGTCATTTCAGCCCTTGCATCTAAGTGTCTCCTGCTGCTCAAGATTCGTGGATCAATGCGCTTCTAAGGGTATAAAAGGAAAGGAAAATAACATTAAGTCACCCGGGCTGTTTTCCTCCACTGGAAGGGACAGGAGGCACAGTCTCTTGTGCCTACCTGGCAAGCCTTCTGCCTTCCTTATCCTCACCGCAGCTGTGTGCATTGCACCAGACACAGACTCTTTTGACCCAGCTCTTGCGCTCGTCTGCCAGTGCTCAGCCCAGGAGGCACACCGAAAACTTGGAGTGAACAGGTGCTGTTATTACATATCTGATCCCTGAGAAAAATCAGTGAGCCTTATAACAGCCCCGTGAGCGAGAAAAGCATCATCATCAGTGCAAGGGAAGGGGCTGACGCTCAGAGAGCACGGAGCAGATTATCCCAGGTTGCCTAGAGAGTTCTGCACCAGCTCTCAGGCCCAAGAGGCAATGGTAGCTGGTCGTGTAGATGGTAGGGAAACCTTAGGCCTGCTCTTGTGATCTGGGCCAATCCCTGCTAAAAGTGTGAAGTGAACATGAAAGCAACCTGTTCTTTTCACGTAACACAAAAACGCCCTGCGATGTAAGCCTCCCTAGACGCCTGCTCCTTGGGAAGAAAACGATGGCAAACCTAGACAGCATAATAAAAAGTAGGGACATCACCCTGCCAACAAAAGTCCGTATGGTCAAAGCAATGGTATTCCCAGTAGTAATGTATGGCTGCGAGAGTTGGATTATAAGGAAGGCCGAGCGCCAAAGAATAGGTTCTTTTGAATTATGGTGCTGGAGAAGATTCTTGAGAGTCCCTTGGACTGCAAGGAGATCGAATCAGTCAATCCTAAAAGAAAGCAACCCTGACTGTTCCCTGGAAGGCCAGATACTCAAGCTGAAGTAAGGGAGCACTCGCTGGGGAAGACCCCGATGCTGGGAAAGATTGAAGGTCAAAGAAGAAGCGGACGGCAAAAGATGAGAAAGTTAGACAGTGTTATCGATGCAACGAACATGAAATTAAGCAAACTCCGGAGGACGGCGGAAGACAGGAGGCGTGATGTGGTTCATGGGGTCACAAACAGTTGGACCCGACTGTGCGACTGAACAACAACAGCAGAGAAGTAGTACTTCAGAGCTGTGTCATTGTAGATTATACATGTTCATAGCTTGACCTTAGTACATTGCAAAATGCTTTCCATCCTGCTGAGTAAGCTAGTACAGCCTGGTGCAATGAACATGACAAAGCTGAACTCCAGCAGAAAACAAGAGATAGTTGGTGCTCATTCAGCACTAGAAGCATTTGTGAATCAAAGACACCCAGCTTGTACAAGTCACATACTAGCATATAGCTCCTTGCTTTGCACTGCTCATGGAGCTGTAAAGATCAAGCAAATACAGGGACAAGAAACTGGGAGTATTAATTTTTTTCTGCTTTCAAGTCACAGCTGACATGGCAATCCCGTAGGGTTTTCAAAGGAAGAGACATTCACAGGTGGTTTTCCATTGCCTGCCTTTGCGTCGCGACCCTGGACTTCCTTGATGGTCTCCCATCCAAGTACTAACCAGGGCTGACCCTGCTTAGCTTCCGAGATCTGATGAGGTCTGGCTAGCTTGGCCCATCCAGGTCAGGGCAGAGTCTCCGTACTGGCCCTAAACACACGTATGTGGAAGGAAGACCCCCTACTGCTAGTTTTGTTGCGGTTAGGCTGTCTCTTGGCACAGAGGTTTTTAGGAGTCTCAAGTAGCCTTATAAGCTAATGTCCACCTGTGGCGGTTAAGAACTGCCACCAGGCAGGTGAAATTTCCCCCAGAATTAATGCTTTTGCTACCTAATGACTATAGGGGGCATTAGGGCAGCCCGGCCTGCATTTTGATCCAGGTAAAGGTAAAGGTTCCCTTGCTCGAAAGCCAGTCGAGTCCGACTCTAGGGTTGCGATGCTCATCTCCGTTTCAAAGCCGAAGAGCCAGCGCTGTCCGAAGACGTTTCCGTGGTCATGTGGCCGGCATGACTAAACACCAAGGTGCACGGAATGCTATTACCTTCCCACCGAAGTGGTACCTATTTATCTACTTGCAATGTCTTGCTTTCGAACTGCTTGTTTGGAAGGAGCTGGAACTAGAGATGGGAGCTCACTCCATCATGCGGCACCCGGGTCTCGAACTGTTGAACTACTGACCTTCCACAGCCTGCAGTTCAGCGTCTTAACCACTTGAGCCACCGCAGCTCAAGTACCCAGCAAAAAGGCCAAGCACTGTGTAACCTCTTAGAAACAGAGAACTTCAGGGCAAGATAATGACCTACCTGGCAAAGATTATTTTGCTACTTTGAGTCAAGTGTTGCTCATGCTTTCCTTTTCTGGAACCCTCCCCTCCTCCACAAATAAACAGGGAAGGCTTCTGATGAAACACAGACCTTGTGATTTCTCAGATGATGTGACGCTTGCAATGGTTGGCCAACAGACGTTACCTTCTGTGTATGACATCACAGTGATGTGGCATGTTGGATGTATTAGAATCCCTACACGGAGCAGACTTCTCATTTCCCCCGGGAGCATCGAGTTCTTCAGAAAACATTTTTAATCAAGACAGGGATTCTTTTTTAAAACTTGGATTTGTGGAGACTATATCTCCAGTGTGATACCGCAATTAGAGTGTTGGGCTGGGATCTGGGAGCCCTGGGTTTAAACCCGCACTCTGCCATGGAAAGTTGCCGAGTGACTTGGGCCAGCCAGACTCAACTCCCTCGCAGGGCTGTTGTGAGGATAAAATGAACGAGGGAAGAATGGTGTTGTAAGCCATGTTAGGTCTCCATTGGAAAAAAAGCAGGTTATAAATATCTAAAGAAACATAAATATAAACAAATATATACTTTAAGGTTGTTTACTTGTCATGGTTTCCTTTTAGGAACCTTGTATGGATAACTCTCCACTGCTTTTCCTCCAGGTAGCTCAGGGCAGCATGCTGTAAATGGCAGTGGTCACCAAGTTACTTTCATGGCGGAGTGTGTGTGTGTTGAAACTGGTTCTCTCAAGTTCTGGTTCAACAGTCCAGGCACTACTCCAGAGTGACTGGCTCTCCTTGGGCTCTTCAAATAGTACTCATTCCCTGTACCCTACTACTCCCAAGTGGTACTCAAGGGGAAGTCATGACATTTAAACTGAATTAAGCAGACCGGAAGGTCTGTAGCTCGGAAGTTCGAGACCTGAGCGCTGCATGATGGAGTGAGCTCCTGCCACCCTAGCAGTCCGAAAGCAAGAAACTGCAAGTAGATAAATAGGTACTGCTTCAGTGGGAAGGTAACAGCATTCCATGCGCCTCGGCGTTTAGTCATGTTGGCCACATGACCACGGAAAAGTCTTCGGACAGCGCTGGCTCTTCGGCTTGGAAACGGAGATGAGCACTGCCCCCTAGAGTCGGATTCAACTAGCTTTCAAGCAAGGAAAACCTTTACCTTTAAGCTTATAGTTAGTATACAGGTTAGGGTCCAAACCTGCAGACAGACATAGGGAGCATGAGCTTCATTTCTCCTTCCCAGCTTTGCTGTTGCCCAAAGCCACTGGACAGAAGCTGTGTTCAAATTAAAAGCTCTTCCCTTTCTCCTCTTTGTTCCAGGCCAGGAGGATTATGATCGCCTACGACCACTTTCATACCAGAACACCAGCGTGGTCTTAGTTTGCTATGATGTCATGAATCCTACTAGCTTTGATAATGTATTAATTAAGGTAAGAGATTTCTTATAGAGGGCTTGCATCTTGGAAGCATATACATTAGAGGGTTCAGAAGGAAGTCATTTTACTTCCTATCTCCCCAAGCAATGGGAAGGACTTTGCAGATATCCGTTTCCTTTCGAATGTGGAGATTTATAGGGCCTTTATAAATGTCTGTGCCCTGACCTGGAGAGCCCAGTCTTGTCAGATTGCCAAAACTAAGCAGGGTCGGCCCTTGTTAGTATTTGGGTGGGAGACCACCAAGGAAGTCCAGGGTCGCTACATAGAGGCAGGCAAGGGCAAACCACTTCTGCTCATTTCTTGCCTTGAAAACCCTCCAGGGTCACCATAAATTGGCTTAGATGGCAAAAAAGATCGGTATAGAAGTGTATAGTGGTGAAGCAGCAGCAAGGACAGTCAGTAATAATGCCTCAAAACAGCATCCAAACAGGGCTTCAGAATAAAAACCCAGAGCCCTAAAGACCAGCTTCTTCCTCCTGGCTTTTTCCCCAGCAATCAAATGGAGGGAAAGTCATTAATACACTCCCAAGATAAGATGTAAACTGCATAAGCCTTACCCCCCCCCCCCCCCCAGCTCTGTTTTATTCAGGACTTAAGATAGAATGGGTAAAGCACTCAATGTACAGGAAGGTTTAAAACCTGCTCTCGCCATCTTCATGATCTCAATGATCCTTTGTATTCATCACCCTTCCCCCAAACCTGGATTGCTTCAGAAGGCATGTCAGCATGCTGGTCGCTTCTAGTGACGTTTTAACCACTTCGGTTTCTCTCTCTTCCAGTGGTCTCATGAGGTGAGCCACTTCTGCCAAGGAATCCCCGTAGTCCTCGTTGGCTGCAAAACAGATCTCCGAAAGGACAAGGAACACCTACGGAAGCTCCGCTCAGCCCAGCAGGAGCCAATCACTTACAGCCAGGTAAACGGAATGGAAGACTAGGCCGGCATACAAGTCAGAACATCTCCGTGCATCCAGGGATGCGCTCTAAGGCGACACGTCTGTCACAGGGGCAGGATCAAGTGCTCAAATTAAAACAGGCAGATATTAGATTCTCATAGATTCTGTAATTTTTCTCCGGAAACTGCTTGTTGCCCCATAGGATCAAACTGACTCATACGTGAAGGATGTGAGCTATTAGCCATGATGACTGAATAGCGCAGGGGTCCCCCGCCTTTTTTTGAGTTTGTGGCCACCTTTGGAATTCAGACAACTGCACATTAGGGGCACCAGGGCTCTTTTTGTAGAAAAAGCCCAGCAGGAACTCATTAGCATAATAGGCCGCACCCAACAGCAGGAACTCATTAGCATATTGGACCACACCTCTGACAGCACAACTCATTAGCACATTAGGCCACACCCACATGTTACCGGAAGTGTGGTTATCCAACCACACCCACCTTTTGCTTGTTATTCTGTTTACCTTGTTTGTTGTCAAAACCCAGGGCCTTTTTTGTAGCAGGAACTCCTTTGCATGTTAGGCCACACACCCCTAACGTAGCCAATCCTAATGAGTTTCTGCTGTTGGGTGTGGCCTGTTATGCTAATGAGTTCCTGCTGGGCGTGGCCAACTCAGGAGCCAGCCGGAACTTCGTTCCTGTGCGTTCCTGCCCAAAAATAGCCCTGGGGGCAACCATGAAATGGCTGCCACAGGAGGTGGAGTCAGCAGCCACAAAATAACCCCCACGGTTTACCTTCCGTCACACAGTGAAAATGCTTGGGTTGACAGCTGCTGCCAAAGCAAAATTAAAAAAAAAATATGCACAGCCAGTCAGAAGCCTTGATAGGCAAAGGCCCAACCTGGCCCCACCCACTTTCTAAAAGCACTTGGCAGGCACCAAGAGAGGTGGTGGGTGGGTGCCATAATGTCCATGGGCACCAGGCTGGGGACCCCTGAAATAGAGGCTCCACATTGAAAGGCATTCTGAAGAGCAACACCCCAGGGAGGCTTCGGCCCCATACCTTGTTTGGATGCTTCCTGGGGCATCTCGTTGGCCCCTGTGGCAAGCAGGGGCTTGGGTCCTAGCCTCCCCCTTCATAAGAACACAAGAGAAGCCAAGGTTGGATCAGGCCAATGGCCCATCCAGTCCAACAGTCTGTGTCACACAGTGGCCAGAAATCCCAGGTGCCATCAGGAGGTCCAGCGGTGGGGCCTCGCTACTGATGGAACAGCATTTTTTACGGATTTCCTCGTCTGACCACCGTGATATCCCTGGGGATTTATTAGCCAATAAAGGCAAAGATGGCTGCAGGAGGGGGGTGGGGGGTATTTGACATTTAGGTAGGGCAGCTGTGCTAGGGCTGTACAGGACCCGGGCCAGATGGATCTTTGGTCATCTTATGTCTGCTTCAGCCTCTGGCTTTCTAGTGCTTTTGGTTTTGTGAAGCTAAGCAGATTAAGAACTGTTGGGCCTATGTTGACCAGCAAAGCCTTCTTCCGAACACTGTCTAATGCAGAGGTGTCAAATTCATTTGTTATGAGGGCCGCATCTGACATAAATGCCACTTGGCCGGGCCGGGCCTTGTGTGCCAGGTACTGGAGATAGAAACTGTATAAAGGACAGCAGCTGGTAAGCTCCGAGTTGGTGTATCCTCATTGCAAGGCCCCATGGGCTGGGAGGGGGGTGCAGAGGAAAACCCACCTAGGCAGACTAGAGAGCCAGCAGTGCAGCACTGGGCAGATGTTCCCACAATGTTTGACTGCTGCAGACAAGGTTGTTCTGCCATGCTGAAGCCATAATGGAGTGGCTCCGCCCACTCCCCCCAGCACTTCCTCCCTTGCATTGGTTGCTCGCGGGCCGCATAAGAGCCCTGGACGGACCTGAGCCGGCCCCCGGGCCTTATGTTTGACACCCATGGTCTAATGAATACATGAGGCTGTATTATACCCAACTAGGCCCAGTGATTTATCCAGGCTTTCATTATTTGCTTTGACGGACAAAGCTTTCAGAGGTCTCAGGAAGAGACCCTTCCCTCCTCTTGCTACCACAAATCCAGGAAGCTCTGGCGGTCGAACCGGGCATGCCAAGCACATGTGCAAGAGCCCCTTCTCAGCCTTACGCAAGACTGCTCAATCTTTCTTCTATAGCAGAGCTTTTTATGCTTCATATACAGACCCGATGTTGACAGCAGCAAAGTGAGTCAGATATGGGAATCAAGAGGAGCCTAAGAAAGCCAAGCATACGTGTTTGTAAAGCTGCTAAAGGAAGTAGACCCACAAGGCACCAATGTACCTTTATGTACACCAAGCTCTAAATTAAGTCACTTAATTGAGACTTCATGGGCTGCCTTGGGTCTGACTCAATTCTGGTAAAAGCTTATCTTGATTCCCCTTCTCCAGGGTGAAGAAGCTTGTCGCCAGATGAATGCAGACACTTACCTAGAGTGTTCAGCCAAGTACCGTGAAAACATCGAGGACATTTTTAGGGAAGCAGCCAGCATTGCACTGAATGCTATGAAAAAAAAGCGGCAGAAGAAACTGAGGCCATGTGCCCTTTTGTGATGGCAGCCCACACAACGAAGAGGACCAAGAGAGTGTTTCCAGCTTTCCTTCAGCGATTAGGAAGGAGACTTTTTTTTTTTGCATTTTCTAAATTGACTGTGCTTCTCCTGACTTGGAAGTTGACCTGGAAAAGTGACTTGCTCTCATACGGCAATTTCTGCTTGTTCTACCTTCTCTGAAGACTGAACGTACAGCTAAGCTGCAAGGACAGCCAGTCCACTTCCAGAGGCCAGTAGTGATTTGCCAGTCTTTCATTTGCACTCCTGGGAAGGGTAGGGACTTACTAGCCACAGCAACTAAGGTAAGGTCTGCAGGACCAGAGCTTTGCCATGATTTGTTTGTACATTAAAAAACAACAACACTTTCTTTAAAAATGAGAAATATCTGTAGTTTTTGAAGAATCAAGGTGTTCTCACAAGAAACAGCCTGTGCTCCATTAAGATTCGTGGCAACAATGCTAAAGGCACTGGCATGTGTCCTACACTGCTAGCAACGGGTAAAGCCCTCCTCCAAATCCAGTAGCTCTTCCTCCACGAACTGGAGGAAGGCTTGAGACTTTTCTGAGCAGATATGTGCCACTGTGTTATTTAAAGAGATCACTGCCATTCACGTATTGAAGAAGAAGAGATTGGATTTATACCCCACCCTTCACTACCCAAAGGAGTCTCAGAGCGGCTTATGGACTCCTTTCCCTTCCCCTCCCCTCCCCACCACAGACACCCTGTGAGGCGGGTGGGGCTGAGAGAGCTCTGACAGAAACTGCTCTTTTTCAAGAACAGCTCTTATCAGAACTACGGCTTGCCCAAGGTCATCCAGCAGTTACAAGTGGAGGAGTGGGGAATCAAACCCGGTTCTCCCAGATTAGAGTCCGCGCACTTAACCACTACACCAAACTGGTGTAGTATGAAGCTGTCTTCTATAGCTGTTGTAAGTTGCCCTGAGCCCTGCCAGGGTGGCTTAGGAATCTAATCAATTAAATAAATAATAAATAAATATAGAGCTAGCAGCCCATTGATCCAATCTCTCTCTCAGTATTGTCTTTTCTGAGTGGCAGCAACTGTCCAAGGTCACAGGCAGAGAATGGTCACTCTCAACACCAACTGTTTGTTGTCTGTGAAAGGGAGACGGGGACTGACCCTGGGATATTTTCCAGTTGTAGTAATTGGCCGTGCTGCCATCACAGCATGCTAAAGGTATTTGAGAGAAGGTGTAACAAGATTCCAAATTACCCTGTGCGATTAAGTAACCGATTACTTAGATCCCGAGAATGGTCACAGAGCATCTGATTAAGGCAAGGAGACCGTGTGACTCCAGTTGAGGTTTGGCTAGGTGCCCATTAAACCACGGTGAGTAGCCCATGAATACAGAAGGACTTTTAAAATCTAATTGTGCAGGCCACCTGATCCTGAATAACTACCTCAGACTATGCCCCTTAAAAACATTCCCCTACTTTAACTACGGTTTGTGTTTGATCACTTTTTCCTCCTCCCTTTTTTCCTTTTCTTTTAAAACCGGCATCTTGCATGGATTTTTATTCTGTTGTGTAAACCATCGACTAACAGGGAGCACTGAGTTAATCTTTCTCTGATGTAGAAATGGCAGGGCAGTGAATGAGGCCTTGGATAAGATAACGGTGCCAACTGATGGAGCAAAAGTCAGCCCTGGTTTACACCTTCTGTAGGACAGAGCTCATAAACAGAACTTGGTCAGCAAAATTTAGTTAGCACCATGTAGCAGGCACAGAAACACAGGACTCGATAACCTTTGAACAAGCAAATGAAAAATGTTGCCGGGAGCAAGCATTGGAGCCTCTTCTCACAGAAAGTCAAATCATGGTTTTCTAGGATCAGTGAAGGCGCTCCCAGATTTTGTAACTGAAGAAGAGCCAGCTGTTGGTTTGGTTTCATCCAACACATCTAGAACGTAGGCTCAGGAGGACTGAAACCCCTTTTGTCACACTACCACCCAATCATCATTTGATGCTGCCCTGTGACCCACAAAGACCCCTCTGCGCCATGCCTGAGTGTCGCTAGAAGTCAAAAGAACTAGACAGGAAAGCAACAAGACATCCAATCCAATACACTGCTGAAAAAAGCCGGTTCTTGGTATACACCAGAGATAAGCAACTGGAAGCCAAAAACAGACACTGAAGTTCACATCATACATAGCCGCTCACCCCCAACTCTTACACTCTCATGCACCTCAACGACCCTCCCCCAAGATGAATTCTTTAGCACCCTCTGTCAGTGGATTCAAGCAATAAAAGTTCTTGGTAAAGCTTTCCCCTTATGCACCACTGACAAATCAAGAAACAGGAAAGGCGTAGTGAGCAGTCAAAATGCCCAAAAGGGCGGAAGGGGCTTGCCCATGTTTCTGCTTAAATGAAAGCATGTCAATGGGTCAAGCAATGCTGCCGGCCCTTCCCAACTTGTTTAGTTCTCGTTAACGTACGAAGCTGCCCTGTATCAAGCTGGACCATCGGGCCATTTAGCTTAGTCCAATCTGACTGGCAGTGGCTCTCGGCCAGAGGTCTCTCATTTCACCTTGCTCTACTGCTGAACTGTTCTGATGGATTTTCTCTTTCTAAGTGTAGCTTAGGGCTTTTGCTTCTTCCCCTGTTCACCAAGGTTGGGATAGCAACAGAACTATCCCAAGTCTACTGATATTATTTTATATTGCGTATCATTCAGTCTCCACTTTCAACCTCGTGCTGGTCTATAAATCAAAAAGATGAGACCAAAGAATAAAACCAGTTGAAGCGGAACATACAGTGACAGATGCAGGATCAGTCCTCTGACGTGCACCGCTTCCAATCTTTTTGCAGGCCAAAAGGCTTCTCCAGCCTTTCCCCCAAACATTTTGTCTTCAAAACCCCTTTATCATCTTCACAGCTGTCCTAAGTAGCCAACAGCCTTCCTAAGCTGAAGGTTCAGCACTCCACTCACAACCGGGCAAGCCAGGAAGTGGAACCTCTGTTTCCGAGAGAAGCATTTACATCCGAGTCCCATTTTGCTCATGTGCCAAGGTCTGGCAGGCACCTTTGCATACTCAACCTAAGGCAGGAACGTC